TCTTGGTTCACCACAACCTCCGCCTCCTGGGTTCAGCCAGTTCTCCTGTCTCAGCCTCCCGAGTAGCTGGGACTAGAGGCACTTGCCACCATGCCCAGCTAATTTTTGTATTTTTAGTAGAGACGGGGTTTCACCATGTTGATCAGGATGGTCTCGATCTCTTGACCTTGTGACCCACCCACCTCGGCCTCCCAAAGTGCTGGGATTACAGGTGTGAGCCACCGCGCCTGGCCATGTTGAAATGTTTTCTTTCTTTTTTGAGACTGAGTCTCACTCTGTTGCCCAGGGTGAAGTGCAGTGGCACAATCTGAGCTCACTGGAACATCCACCTCCTGTGTTCAAGCGATTCTCCTCTTTCAACCTCTGGAGTAGCTGGGACTACAGACCACCACACATGACTAATTTTTGTATTTTTAGTAGAGACGGGTTTTGCCATGTTTATCAGGCTGGTCTTGAACTCCTGACCTCAAGTGGTCAATCTGCCTCAGCCTCCCAAAGTGCTGGGATTACAGGTGTGAGCCACTGTGCCCGGCCCCAAATTCTTGACATTCTTGCCAACACTTGTTCTTTGGAGTGGTTGATTTTTGTTGTGAGTTATAGGAGTTCTTTTTTTTTTTTTTTTTTTTTTTTTTAGACGGGGTTTCGCTCTTGTTAACCCAGGCTGGAGTGCAATGGCACGATCTCGGCTCACTGCAACCTCCGCCTCCTGGGTTCAGGCAATTCTCCTGCCTCAGCCTCCTGAGTAGCTGGGATTACAGGCACACGCCACCATGCCCAGCTAATTTTTTGTATTTTTAGTAGAGACGGGGTTTCACCATGTTGACCAGGCTGGTCTCGATCTCTTGACCTTGTGATCCACCCGCCTCGGCCTCCCAAAGTGCTGGGATTACAGGCTTGAGCCACCGCGCCCGGCAGGAGTTCTTTATATGTTCTTGATGCTAACACCTTGCCAGATATATGATTTGCTGATACTTTTTACAATTCCCTGGTTGCCTTTTCCCAGTGCTGATAGTGTCTTCTGACACACAGAATTGTTTATTTATTTATTTGGAGACAAGGTCTTGCTCTTTGCCCCAGGTGTGATTCCAGCTTACTGTAGTCTCAACCTCCTGGGCTCAAGGAATCCTCTTCCCTCAGCTGCCTGGCTCACACAAGTTTTAAATTTTGATGAAATAAAATTTGTCTTTCTTTTATGAACCATGTTCTGGTGTTTTATCCAAGAAATCAGTGCCAAACCCAGTGGAAACCTTGCCCTGTGTTTTTGTTTAAAAATGAAAATTACAACAGAGTTAAAGATCCAGTTGACTTTTATCTGCAATTCATGAATTGGGGTACCATCCCATTCTATAGAATAAGAGCTCCTACTGGACACGACAGAAGTGTGGTTTTTGTAAAGAACAAGGGAAATGGCAACAGCAGCAAAGCAGATTGGTTAACATCATGTTACTTTTATTGAAAGGGTAAAGCAGCCAGGCGCGGTGGCTCAAGCCTGTAATCCCAGCACTTTGGGAGGCCGAGGCAGGTGGATCACAAGGTCGAGAGATCGAGACCATCCTGGTCAACATGGTGAAACCCCGTCTCTACTAAAAATACAAAAAAATTAGCTGGGCATGGTGGCGCGTGCCTGTAATCCCAGCTACTCAGGAGGCTGAGGCAGGAGAATTGCCTGAGCCCAGGAGGTGGAGGTTGCAGTGAGCCGAGATCGCGCCATTGCACTCCAGCCTGGGTAACAAAAGCGAAACTCCGTCTCAAAAAAAAAAAAAAAAAAAAGGGTAAAGCAGAGGAGACGTCTTTACTATGCCAGTTGAGATTAACTGGGCCCTTTCTGATTGGTTGCTGTGAGTCCCCTGTGTTGTAGAAAAACGGGGTATATTTGAAGAGCTACCTGCTTCTTTAAAATTTTAGTTTCATCATGTGCCACTTAGCATGAGTGACTCCATTTTTGTTTCGTCTCATTTCTTGGGGCCTAGTATAGGATTTTAATCCAAAAACAATGGCCTGCATAATTTTTACTATTTTCTTCTAAGAGCTGTTTAGTTTTAGCTGTTACCTTTAGGTCTTTGATCCATTGTGATCTCATTTTTATATGTAAGTTAAGGGTCCAACTGCCATTTTTTGTTTGTTTGTTTGTTTGTTTGTTTTTTGAGACAGAGTTTTACTCTGCCACCCAGGACCCAGGCTGGAGTACAGTGACATGGTGTCATCTCACTGCAGCCTCCACCGCCTGGGTTCAAGCGATTCTCCTGCCTTAGCCTCCCATGTAGCTGGGATTATAGGCACATGCCATAACACCTGGCTAATTTTTTATATTTTTAGTAGAGATGGGTTTCGCCATATTGACCAGGCTGGTCTAGAACTCCTGATGTCAGGTTGTCTCTCAAAGTGCTGAGATTACAGGCGTGAGCCACCTCGACCGGCCCCAACTGTATTTTTTCACATGCATATATCCAGTTTTTCCAGAACCATTTTTTCTTTCAACTTTTATTTTAGGTTTGGGGTGTACATGTGCAAGTTTGTTACATGGGTAAATTGTGTGTTACTAGGGGTTAGTGTTCAACTGATTTAATCACCTGGGTAGTGAAAGCTTAGTACCTGATAGGTTTCTTTTTCACCCTCACCTTCCTCCAACCCTCCCACTTCAAGTAGGCCCCAGTGTTTTTTGTTCTCATCTTTGTATCCATGCCAACACCATTTTTTGAAAAGTATTTTTTTTTCCCCAATAATGAATCTGGGCACACTTGCAAAAATCATTTTGCCATTTATGTGTGTGTATGTTTCTGGGCTCTGTTCTATTCCAAGGGTCTGTATCTGTGTCTTCATGACAATACCACACTGTTTTGATTACTTATCCAAGGATTTTTGCTTTGGTATTCATAAAGGACATTTGTTTGCCTTTTTTTTTTTTTTTTTTTTTTTTTTTGTGATCTTTGTCTATCTGGCCTCATAGAATGAATTGGGGTGTGTTCCTTCCTCTGCATTTTTTTTTAGAATAGTTTGAAGAGGATTAGTGTTAATTTTTCCTTAAATGTTTGATAGATTTTAGCAGTGAAACTATTGGCAGGCTTTTATTTGTTGGAGTTTTTGATTACTGCATCAATCTGACTAGCTGTAGGTTTCCACAGATGTGAGCCTAGAAATTTCCCACTTCATATTACCCCATTTGTTGGTGTACCCATAGAGGCTTCTTTACTATGGTGTGATGCATTCTTTCCATTGTACTTCCTTGTTATTATCTAGGAGTCCTACTGATGTGGAATATGGTGTGGGGAGACAGGAAACATTCCATTGACATACGATTTGGCCTCATTTTAGGAAGCTTGGGTTGCTGGGTTATTTGCATAAGTACTTTTTTTTTTTTTTTAATGTTTCCACATAAGTACTTCTTATCCTCATGCCTCTTTAGTGGAGGCAGGAAGGGTAGAGGGGAATAGAATTAGGTATTCCCCTTGTCCCAGAAGGTTTGGCTCTGGTAGCATCCTAGTTGGTAGGCTCTTTCCCTTTCCCTCCCTCCCTCCCTCCCTCCCTTCCTTCCTTCCTTCCTTTTTCTCTTTCTTTCTCTTTCCTTCTCTCTTTCTTTTTTTTTTTTTTCTTCTCTCTTTCTTTTCTCCCTTCCCGTCTCCTTTTTTTTTTCTTTTTTTTTTTTTTTTTATTTGAGACGGAGTTTCGCTCTTGTTACCCAGGCTGGAGTGCAATGGCACGATCTCGGCTCACCGCAACCTCCGCCTCCTGGGTTCAGGCAATTCTCCTGCCTCGGCCTCCTGAGTAGCTGGGATTACAGGCACGCGCCACCATGCCCAGCTAATTTTTTGTAGTTTATAGTAGAGACGGGGTTTCACCATGTTGACCAGGATGGTCTCGATCTCTCGACCTCGTGATCCACCTGCCTCGGCCTCCCAAAGTGCTGGGATTACAAGCCTGAGCCACTGCGCCCGGCCCTTTTTTTTTTTTTTTTTTTTTTATAGACACATGGGATCTCACTTGGTTTCCCAGGCTAGTCTTGAATCTTGGCCTCAAGCCATCCTCTGGCCTTTGGCCTTCCAAAGTGCTGGAATTATAGGCATGAGCTACTGCGCCTGGCCTGAAGATGGTATCTGTTCAGAACAATTCCCTGAGTGTATTTCAGAATGACTACTCACCCTCTTCCTGTCAGAAGCAGGAAGCAATTTTCCTATGATCTTCACTGTGAGAACTGATAAAGGTTTCTGGAGGTAGAGCTCACATACTGCTGGAGGGGCCCCGTATGACTGGACTCCCTGGATTTTTACCTTTTTTTTTTGTTTTTTAATGGCTAATTTAAAAAAAATTAGTGGAGAAGAGGTCTTGCTATGTTGTCCAGACCAGTCTTAAACTCCTGAGCTCAAGTGATCCCCCTGCCTCCATCTTCCAAAGTGTTGGGATTACAGGTGTGAGCCACCACATCCAGCCAGATTTTTACTTTTTAAATTTATTCGCACTAAGCCTTCAGTAATTCATCAGTTGCAATTTAGGTTTTCCCATTCCTGTACTGCTTCCCACCGAGATTTTGCTATGGGAGTCTGTTCTAGCAAGTTATGACTCTTTTATCAGTTAGGTTGGTGGGATCCTGTCCAAAAGCCAGTATCCAGATACTGTCAAAGGTCAGACTTTGTGAACAAGCATTTCTAAAGATAGGCAATCTTAGGGTGACTGATGTTAAACTTTTTCCTGCACGCTAGTTACTACATCTTTGTTATGGCAGGTGCTACAGACCCACCGTACAGAGAGGCAATAGGGGTGGCCTGGCAGCACATAATTCCCCCATCAGAGAGTCATTCCTATTATATTGTTGCTAGTTCAGTTCTAGCAGCAGAATTGCTTTGTGGAAGGAAGTGTGTTTAGATAGAAGTTAAGTTTGATGACTGGGAAATCTTGGAATAAATGTGTGGAGAGCACAGAGTCATGAGAATTTCTTGGGAATACAGTCTAGGATCCCAGTGCTGTCAGTCTCACCCATCCTCCTCCATACATGTGGGATGTTTCAGGACTCAGTGGCCTTTGAGGATGTAGCTGTGAACTTCACCCTAGAAGAGTGGGCTTTGCTGGATCCTTCCCAGAAGAATCTCTACAGGGATGTGATGCGGGAAACCTTCAGGAACCTGGCTTCTATAGGTAAGGGTGACAATATTCCTTGCCTTATAAACTAGAGAACAAGTGTTTCTAGCTCCTTTACACTTTGGGTAATAAACCAGGCATGGCTGCAGTGAATTGTGAACATAAAATCTAGTACTTTTTTTCATAATTTTGTACTAATTCATAATGACTTTTTTGGTCTAAATTTTAGGAAAACAATGGGAAGACCAGAACATTGAAGACCCATTCAAACTTCCTGGGAGAAGTACAAGGTAATTTGCACTCACAAAAGAAAGCTCTGTTCCTTGAGAGCATTTCATATTGTTAGGATTTTTTTAAAACAAGCAAACAAAACATCTAAGCCCAGCTTCAAGTTGGTTTTTAGAAAATCTTCTCCTGCCGGGCGCGGTGGATCACGAGGTCAAGAGATCGAGACCATCCTGGTCAACATGGTGAAACCCCGTCTCTACTAAAAATACAAAAAATTAGCTGGGCGTGGTGGTGAGTGCCTGTAATCCCAGCTACTCAGGAGGCTGAGGCAGGAGAATTGCCTGAACCCGGGAGGCAGAGGTTGCGGTGAGCCGAGATTGCGCCATTGCACTCCAGCCTGGGTAACAAGAGCGAAACTCCATCTCAAAAAAAAAAAAAAAAAAGAAAATCTTCTCCTAAAACATAGTTAAGTGTAATATAGATGTTCAGTGTTTGCAAAATAGTTCACTGGTAGACAGTGTTAAGAAACCTCATATGAATATCTTTTTTCTTTCTTTTTTTTTGAGATGGAGTTTTGCTCTTGTTACCCAGGCTAGAGTGCAATGGCGTGATCTCAGCTCACCGCAACCTCCTTCTCCTGGGTTCAGGTAATTCTCCTGCCTCAGCCTCCTGAGTAGCTCAGATTACAGGCATGTGCCACCACACCCAGCTACTTTTTTGTATTTTTAGTAGAGATGGGGTTTCACCATGTTGACCAGGATGGTCTTGATCTCTTGACCTCGTGATCCACCTGCCTCGGTCTCCCAAAGTGCTGGGATTACAGGCTTGAGCCACCGTGCCCAGCCTCTTTTTTCTTTTTTTAGAAGGAATTTCACTCTTGTTGCCCAGGCTGGAGTGCACGGGCACCATCTCAGCTCACTGCAACATCTGCCTCCTGGGTTCAAGTGATTCTTTTTTTTTTTTTTGAGACTGAGTTTCGCTCTCGTTACCCAGGCTGGAGTGCAATGGCGCGATCTCGGCTCACCGCAACCTCCGCCTCCTGGGTTCAGGCAATTCTCCTGCCTCAGCCTCCTGAGTAGCTGGGATTACAGGCACGCGCCACCATGCCCAGCTAATTTTTTGTATTTTTAGTAGAGACGGGGTTTCACCATGTTGACCAGGATGGTCTCGATCTCTTGACCTTGTGATCCACCCGTCTCGGCCTCCCAAAGTCCTGGGATTACAGGCTTGAGCCACCGTGCCCGGCTCTTTTTTTTTTTTTTTTTTTTTTTTGAGATGGAGTTTCGCTCTTGTTACCCAGGCTGGAGTGCAATGGCGCGATCTCGGCTCACCACAACCTCTGCCTCCTGGGTTCAGGCAATTCTCCTGCCTCAACCTCCTGAGTAGCTGGGATTATAAGCATGCACCACCATGCCCAGCTAATTTTTTGTATTTTTGGTAGAGACGGGGTTTGACCATGTTGATCAGGATGGTCTCGATCTCTTGACCTCATGATCCACTCGCCTCGGCCTCCCAAAGTGCTGGGATTACAGGCGTGAGCCACCGTGCCCGGCCGGTTCAAGTGATTCTTATGCCTGCGCCTCCTGAATAGCTGGGATTACAGGTGCCCACCACCACGCCTGGCTGATTTTTTGTATTTTTAGTAGAGATGGGGTTTCACCGTGTTGGCCAGGCTGGTGTTGAACTCCTGTCCTCAGGTGATCCACCTGCCTCAGCCTCCTAAAGTGCTGGGATTACAGATGTGAACCACCAGGCCTGGCCATGAATATCATTTTTTGATAATAGGTATGATTGTGACCTAAAGCAGAGCATTTAGTCTGTCCATATTGACACAATTGAGATAGGGCATAAAACTTACACTTTCCCTGATAAAGTTAAAAATATGAATCCAAGGCTGAGTGTGGTGGCTCACGCAAGCAGCCACCAGCCTGGCCAACATGGCAAAACCCTGTCTCTACTAAAGATATAAAAATTAAAGAAAATAAACAAACAAAAAAGATATAAAAAATTACCCTAGTGTGATAGCCATGCCTGTAATCCCAGGGACTCAGGAGACTGAGGCAGAATAATTGCTTGAACAAAGGAGGTGGAAGTTGCAGTGAGCTGAGATCATGCCATTGTACTCCAGCCTGCCAGCCTGGGAACAGAGTGAGACTGTCTCCAAAAAAAAAAAAGAAGTGAGTACAGGCCTGGTACAGTAGTTCACGCCTATAATCTGAGTAGTTTGGGAGGCAGAGATGGGAGGATCCCTTGAACCCTGGAGTTCGAGACCAGCCTGGCAACATAGTGAGATCCTGTCTCTGTATTTTAACAAAGTATATATAAGGGCTGGGTGTGGTGGCTCACGCCTGTAATCCCAGCACTTTGGGAGGCCAGAGCGGGTGGATCACCTGTGGTCAGGAGTTGTGAGACCAGCCTGGCCAACATGGTTGGACCTTGTCTTAAAAAAAAAAAAAAAAAAAAGAAAAAGGTATAAGTCTAATATGTGTTAGTAAATATAAAATTTTTTTTTAATAAACAAACTGTTAATAATATATTTCTCATTTTTCCCACAAGTCATATTCCAGAGAGAATCTGTGAACATAAAGAAGGTAGTCAAGGTGAAGAAACCTTCAGCCAGATTCCAGATGGTATTCTGAACAAGAAAACTCCTGGAGTAAAACTGTGTGAAAGCAGTGTGTGTGGAGAAGTTGGCACGGGTGCTTCATCACTTAATAGGCACATCAGAGATCACACTGGACATGAACCAAATGAATATCAGGAATATGGAAAGAAGTCATATACACGAAACCAGTGTGGGCGAGCCTTGAGTTATCATCGCGCTTTTCCAGTACGTGAAAGGACTCATCCTGGAGGAAAACCCTATGATTGTAAGGAATGTGGAGAAACCTTCATTTCTCTTGTAAGCATTCGAAGACACATGTTAATGCATAGGGGAGGTGTGCCTTACAAATGTAAGGTTTGTGGGAAAGCCTTTGATTATCCCAGTTTATTTCGAATACATGAAAGAAGTCACACTGGAGAGAAACCCTATGAATGCAAGCAATGTGGGAAAGCCTTCAGTTGTTCGAGTTACATTCGAATACATGAAAGGACTCACACTGGAGATAAACCCTATGAATGTAAGCAATGTGGCAAAGCTTTCAGTTGTTCCAAGTACATTCGAATACATGAAAGAACTCACACAGGAGAGAAACCATATGAATGTAAACAGTGTGGTAAAGCCTTTAGGTGTGCCAGTTCTGTTCGAAGTCATGAAAGGACTCACACTGGAGAGAAACTTTTTGAGTGTAAGGAATGTGGGAAGGCCTTAACCTGTCTTGCAAGTGTTCGAAGACACATGATAAAGCACACTGGCAATGGCCCTTATAAATGTAAGGTGTGTGGGAAAGCCTTTGATTTCCCCAGTTCATTTCGAATACATGAAAGGACCCACACTGGAGAGAAACCCTATGATTGTAAGCAATGTGGGAAAGCCTTCAGTTGTTCCAGTTCTTTTCGAAAACATGAAAGAATTCACACTGGAGAGAAACCCTATAAATGTACAAAATGTGGGAAAGCCTTCAGTCGTTCCAGTTACTTCCGAATACATGAAAGAACTCATACCGGAGAGAAACCCTATGAATGTAAGCAATGTGGGAAAGCCTTCAGTCGATCCACTTACTTTCGAATACATGAAAGAATTCACACTGGAGAGAAACCCTATGAGAACCCTACCCCTAACCCTTCCGTTGTCCCAGTTCTTTCATAATCATGAATGGAGCCACACAAAGAAACCCCATGAAAGTAAGAAATTTGGGAAAGCCTTCAGTCCTTTCTATTTCTTTCTACTGCATGAAAAGATTCACAGTGGAGAAGGACCTTGTAAGATAATTGGCTTTAAATTATGAAAGACTTGCAGTAGGACAGTAAACTCTAGAATTGGATCTCTGGATTATGTTATGTCAGTGTTGGTAGTTTAGGAACTAGATTTCCAAGAATTCATTCCATTTGTGATTCCATGATACAGTTCATCAGTAACCTATCAAACATGAGATTTGGAAGTAAGCAAAGAAGGCATTAGTCATTGTTTGGAAGCACCATACAGGGAGACAGCCATGTGAATACAGGCTGTATGGACACCTGCTTCCATTCCATTTTCCCACTTTGGGTTGCCAATTAAGAGTATCCTCGGAACTACTTGACTTCGGTTTTCTTGGAGGTGTAGGTTTCACACAGGTCTCCAGAAGCCCACGTTGAATATCTACTTTAGTTTTCCTTCAGACATTATTATGTGTGTACTAGGCAACTAATTCAGACTGTCCTGGTTGGGAATATTCTCTGATGTTCTGACTCCCCTAGTCTGTAGATGCCTGAGAGCACCTTTGTTCATACTAGTAGTGACAGTATTCTTGATTCAGCCTGACTGCTACCATGCTACTGTCAAAACCAACTAGAGGGGAGCTTGTTCTGCTGCACTATGACTGGCCTTGCCCAGGACTTTCATGTGAGAATAAGTACTTTCCTCTTATCAGGAAATTTCAAGTGTTTTCCTGTTACTTACAGCTCAGCCTAATGCCTCAGTTCATTTCCAGTTGTTTGGTTATGTATGACTAATATGTATTTTTTATTCAAACAAGACTTTTGTACATGTTTCTTAGAAACTATTAACTGTCTTCAGTCTTGGATCACGTCAAGTTTATAATTTTGGCAAATTATTTATTAAGACACTGTGAAGTCAGCATTAACCAGGTGCATACAACTTTAGGAATTTTCTCCTCCTCATGTAAATTTTACTTTTCTTGCTTATATAGTTTCAACTTTTATCTTGATGGTAATATCTCATTTACTCATAATACCAAAAGTTAAGCCATGCTGTTTTGTGTGCCCTCTAGCTAAAGACCACAAAGACCATACCTGTTATCAAAGAGGGTGTAATAAATTGTAATAATAATTATGACCACAAACCATAAATGACTGTGTGATATATCAGTAAGAGGGTGCTCTGAAGAATTTCTTAACAGGTTTTGTGCTTGTTTTAGGTTGATTGGTTTCTATTCAAGGAAGCAAGATGATTCTCTGTATTTGATGCACTGATAAGGTAAACTTAATTCTAAACTTGGTAATCATAATTGTTCTTATTCAGAAGGGAAAAGGAATGGTGGGAGGTAAACCAAACTCATGAGAAATACCACTGAGTCATGTTAGTGAGAAGAGAGGAATTTTGGTCATGTTTATGATTTGGAACATTTTATCTTTCACCCATCTTTATTTATTTATTTATTTATTATTTTTTGAGACAGAGTCTCACTCTGTTGCCCAGGCTAGAGTGCAGTGGTGCAATCTTGGCTTACTGCAACCTCTACCTCCCAGGTTAAAGCGATTCTCCTGCCTCAGCCTTCCAAGTATTCTCCTGCCTCAGCCTTCCAAGTAGCTAGGATTAGAGGCATCTGCCACCACGCCCAGCTAATTTTTGTGTTTTTAGTAGAGATGGGTTTTCACTATATTGGCCAGGCTGGTCTGGAACTCCTGACCTTGTGATCTGCCCGCTTCGGCTTCCCAAAGTGCTGGGATTACAGGTGTGAGCCACCACACCCGGCTCACTAGTTTTAAAGATGTGATTGAAGAATGCCCTTTTTTTGTCTTGATTCATCATAGCCACTTAGGAGCACTGTCTCCCATTGCAGGTGTCTGGCTTGTTTCTAACAGCATGAGACTCAGCCTTGCAGTGAAGGGAGGCTGACTCCTGGACTTGTGGACCTATTTTTGCCTTACTTATTCTCTGAACACAAGTATTTCTTGTGATGTACTGGACATTGTTTTCCATTATGTACCTCAGTTACAATATGTAAATTTACTTCTTAGCAAGCTATATAATACTTTTAAAAAGCTCCTTTATGATTCTAATGAGACTAATATATTTATGCAGATTTCTGAATGCAAGCTTAGAAAGGAACAAAGTCAGCATCAATATTCCAACCAAGCCTTTCTTGCTCAGATAATATGCTTCTTTTTGTTTTTGTTTTTTGAGATGAAGTTTCACTCTTGTCACCCAGGCTGGAGTGGAATGGTGCAGTCTGGACTCTGCAACCTCCATCTCCTGGGTTCAAGTGATTCTTCTGCCTCAGCCTCCTGAGTAGCTGGGATTACAGGCACCCACCACCACACCCAGCTAATTTTTTTCATATTTTTAGTAGAGATGGGGTTTCACCATGTTGGCCAGGCTGATTTCAAACTTACAGATGTGAGCCACTGTTCCTGGCGTATATGCTTTTGATTCTAATTTATCAACAGCCCTCTCCTATAGAGTAAAAAGCAACATGCAAAACTAAGCTTTTTGTCTGTATACTTCCATGGAACCATCCAATCACTTCATTGAAGTGTCCAGCAAGCTCCTGTTGAGAAAATCTTTGTTGAAACTTCTCACTCAGAAGCCCAGGTATCAAAGGATAGAGTAGCAATCAGTGACCAAACTGTGACTTTATGTGGAGATGACATATTCAGCCCCAGATAATATATTCACATGAGTGAAGGGTGGAGTCATTGCCTGTCGGATTCTGTAGTCATTTGGATTAGAGAGGATAATACAGAGTTAGCTGCTACTGACTCCAACCACTGACTTCTCCCTTCAAGACAACATCCACAGTCATAGTATGGGCCACAGAGTAGAAACACCACTGCCAACATGACTTCAAATGTGATTTTGCACAGGATGCAGGTGCTGTGTTGGGATGGTGAAAGAAGGAAAGGGACATTGGAAGCACAGGGTGAGGGAGACGAACAAGGGACATTGGAAGCACAGAGTGAGGGAGATGAACAGGACACAGCTGAGCCTGATTATTGGCCTTGACTGTGGGAGTATCTTGATGCTTCACAAACACCCCAGAGAGGACATTATAGCACAGGCTCAGAGTGTTCATAAACCAGGAAGGCCACCACTTTCAGAAGGCAGTGATGCTGCTTTCTGTTTGAGTCCTGATGCTCTGTTGACAGCATACATGGTTCTTCATCTGATTAGAAAAGTAATGCTGCAGTTTGTGAGTTTCAGCAATGTAGAATTAAGTTATTTTGGGGCCGGGCACAGTGGCTCACTCCTGTAATCCCAGCAGTTCGGGAGGCTGAGGCAAGAGGACCAGCCTGATTGACATGGAGAAACCCCGTCTCTACTAAAAATACAAAAATTACCTGGGCATGGTGGCACATGCCTATAATATTAGCTACTCGGGAGGCTGAGGCAGAAGAATCACTTGAACCCGAGAGGTGGAGGTTGTGGTGAGCAGAGATCACACCACTACACTCCAGCCTGGGCAACAAGAGTGAAACTCTGCCAAAAAAAAAAAAAAAGGTTATTTTGTTAATCTAGGATTCACTTTTCCTTCTGGCTGCAGACAGAGCTATGGATAGGGAATATCACACATTTTTAAGGTTATGCTGTCTTTCATGTTTAATGGATAAATGGAGTTATTTCCACATTGCGTTTCCGTATGCAATGAAGGCCAAGGGAGCAGAATCCCTTGAGGCCAAGACTTCAAGACCATCCTGGGCAATACAGTCAGACTATGTCTGTACGAAATACTTTTTACATTGTTGATATAATTTATGAGCGTCCAGTGTCATGCTATCAGTTAATATTAGAGAATTATTAGATGTGACCATGATATTCTGGTTATAAGAAATGCTTCAGCTGGGCACAGTGGCACGTGCCTGTGAGTCTCAGCTACTCAGGAGGCTGAGGTGGAAGGATGGTTTGAGCCCAGGAGTTTTGGGCTGTAGTGTACTATGCCGATTGAGTGTATGCACTAAGTTCAGCATCAATATGGTGACCTCCCAGTAGCAGGGGACCACCAGCTTGTTCAAGGAGGGGTGAACCAGTCCAGGTTGGAAACGGAGCAGGTCAAAACTCTCATGCTGATCAGTAGTGGGATTGCGCCTGTAAATAGCCTCTGCACTCCAGCCTGGACAACATAGTGAGATCCCATTTCTTAAAAAAAAAAAAGAGAGAAATGCTTCAATTTTTGTTGTTGTTGTTTTGAGATAGAGCCTTGCTGTCACCCAGGCTGGAGTGCAATGGTGTCATCTCAGCTCACTACAACCTCCACCTACTGGGTTCAAGCAATTCTGATGCCTCAGCCTTTGGATTAGCTGGTATTACAGGTGTGTGCCACCACGCCTGGCTAATTTTTAAATTTTTAGTAAAGATGAGATTTCACCATGTTGGCCAGGCTGGTCTCAAATTCGTGACCTCAAGTGATCTGCCTGCTTTGGTCTCCCAAAGTGCTGGGATTACAGGTATGAGCCAGTGCTCCCAGCCTGAGAAATGATTCCATTCTTGAGATGTGAAAATTGTCTTTTTAGATACATATTTTTTAAAAAATAGAGATGGAGTCTTGTTGTGTTGACCAGGCTAATCTTGAACTCCTGGCATCAAGTGATCCTCCCATCTTGGCCTCACACAGTGCTAGGATTACAGGCACGAGCCACTACACCTGGTGTTTAGATATACGTTTTTTTTGTTTTTTGTTTTTTGTTTTTTTTGAGACGGAGTTTCGCTCTTGTTACCCAGGCTGGAGCGCAATGGTGCGATCTCGGCTCACCACAACCTCCGCCTCCTGGGCTCAGGCAATTCTCCTGCCTCAGCCTCCTAAGTAGCTGGGATTACAGGCACGTGCCACCACGCCCAGCTAGTTTTTTGTATTTTTAGTAGAGACGGGGTTTCACCATGTTGACCAGGATGGTCTCGATCTCTCGACCTCGTGATCCACCCGCCTTGGCCTCCCAAAGTGCTGGGATTACAGGCTTGAGCCACCGCGCCCGGCCGATATACATGTTTTATATTTGCAGTTTTTAATAAGATAAGGTCAAAAAGGAAAAAAATTTTGGATAAATGACCTTAGGTTGAAAGCATTTTACTTTCAAGAAAAAATTTAGAATTTATTCCTGTATCAAAAAATTATATCCAGTTCATTTGCTATAGCATGAAATTTTATCAAAAAGAACTTAATAATTTCAAATGTGAACTGAAGTTATTTTATTATTTCTTTTTTTTTTTTTTTTTTTTTTTTTTTTTGAGACGGAGTTTTGCTCTTGTTACCCAGGCTGGAGTGCAATGACGCGATTGGCTCACCGCAACCTCCGCCTCCTGGGTTCAGGCAATTCTCCTGCCTCAGCCTCCTGAGTAGCTGGGATTACAGGCACGTGCCACCATGCCCAGCTAATTTCTTGTATTTTTAGTAGAGACAGGGTTTCACCATCTTGACCAGGATGGTCTCGATCTCTTGACCTCGTGATCCACATGCCTCGGCCTCCCAAAGTGCTGGGATTACAGGCTTGAGCCACCGCGCCCGGCCCGTTATTTTATTATTTCTTAATGTCTGTCTCTCTGAGTTTCTATAAGCCTTTTGGATGTTTTACCCACCATATAGATAAAATCATGGTCAAAAGTGATACAAGGCTGGGCATAGTGGCTCACGCCTGTAATCTCAGCACTTTTGGAAGCTAAGGTGGGTGGATCACGAGGTCAGGAGATCAAGACCATCCTGGCTATGGTGAATTCCTTCTCTGCTAAGATACAAAAAATTAGCCAAGTGTGGTGGTGCATGCCTGTAGTCCCAGCTACTTGGGAGGCTGATGCAGGAGAATTGCTTAAACCTGGGAGGCAGAAGTTGTAGTGAGCTGAGATTGCACCACTGCACTCCAGCCTGGCAACAGAGCAAGACTCCATCTCAAAAAAAAAAAAAAAAAAGTGATACAGAAGGAGGCAGAGCAAGATGGCCAAATAGAGCCCGCCAGTGATTATTCCCCCAACAAGAACACCAAATTGAACAGATACCCACACAAAAAAGGAACTTAATAAGAACCAAAAATCAGCTGCGCAATCACAGTACTTGGCCTTCTATTAAGTAAAGAGGCATGGAAGAGGGTGGGAAAGCCAGTCCTGAATTGCCTGTGCCACCCCTTTCCCATCCTCTTG